AAGAGATTTTCTCAAAAAAATTATTTGTTGTAGAGTTCTATTCTTTTTTAAAACATGTACTTTACTATGCTCATGAGGAATTTAGCACTAGGATCATTGCTAAATTTAGGCTAGATTTCGTCCAACATTACTAAATTTAGAAAATCCTCAACCATCATATCTAAATTTGGCAGTAAGGAAAATAAATTTTCAACCAAAATCATGTGATGTGAAGGCCTTTTTTGAAAAATTTTTATTGCATTTTTGAATCACAAAATCAACTTTTGAAATTTGTGTGCATACAATTAAAAAAGGAAGCTGAAGAAATGTTGGTAATAAGAAATGACTGTCAGATAACAACTGGATATAAAGAAGGTATAATCAACAATTTAATAGCCACAACTCAGAAATGTAAAATTATAAATTAACTAACACACCACCAAATCATTTAACTATAGATTCATTGAAAAAATCACAAAACCAGAGAATGCATAAATATTAATATTATAAATTATGCAGAATATAGTAATATTAATAATGTTTTTAATGTGGAATTTGTTTTTAGCATGAATGGAATTAGTGTTTCATCACCAGAAAATATAAATATCATGACAATAATTGTAAAAAGTATCAGAAGAGCATGGAGGTGGAGGATGGATGCATTTTGATGATTTTAAAGACATTCTTAGTAATCTAACATTTGGTGGTGCTGCTAATATAAAAAAATCAATGTTAAAGGGTAACAGACATTAAAAGTAGCCATTTTTTAGAAACCATTTGATTTGTCTATAATGTAGTGACAAAAGATGGAACATCATATGAACATCAAGGTAATCAGTGGGCTTAGATATAGGAGGACCTGATCAGGTGCCATTTGATTTTACTGCTAATGGAGAGTTAATAGAGATAAGAGGCAGAATTGGCATTGACCCAGGTGGATCTACAGTTGTAAGATTCTTGATGTTCAAAACACTACAAAAAACACTTGAATACAGTAAAAATATCCCATCAATGAAAGAATTTGTTATCTTTGGGAACAGTGGTAATACTGTTGATTCCATTGGGGCATACAAGGTTGCAGAAGTAGTTGATAATGCAACATCTACAATTATTGAAACAATGACAGAATCTACCAAAACAGTAATGATAACTGCTGATGCTGTAGTAGGAATGATGTTTGTCAATAATCCTCAGATAATTATCAGCCTCAATGTTCCCATAGCAGCATTAAGTATACTATTACTGGCAGCTTTGTATTATTTATATAAGAATAATAATTATAAGAGGAAAAATGGTCTACTCAGAATAGCAGTTAGTGTTAGTAATCATTAATGATAATTGCAGTTAAGGAAAATATTGATAGTTGAATAAATATACTAGTATATTAAATTACTTGGGTCACTTACTATCTTTAATATATTGTGTGGATTTTTTTAGTATCTTTATCATATATTTCAACACATTGTAAATGTTGACAACAAAATTCAACTAACAATATATTTTTTT